GCAAGGTGAGCTAGCTACTAAGTGAATATGCTAGGTCATATGTGGCACAGGATGGATAATATCAGAGTGATGCATTTGGCCATATTGTGCAACTATCGTTTGAGTCTAACCGTTCTAGGATTGAGTCTGTTACTCGAAGGATTATATGATCTATGTTGCATGTGGCTATATTCATAAGGTAGCTAGTTGACATTACTAGGAATCTTTCAGCAGCTGAGGACTGGGTGGGTTGGGAACCTATGAGAGCCTAGGATACGCTCAAGTGAGTTAGTGGGGCGATTCAGTAAGGTTGGGAACCTAGGAGATCCTAGGAGTTGCTTTGGTGGATATTGTGTTGCTGTTTAGCAGACATTTAGTACATCTTGGGAGTAGGTGACTTATAGGATTCGAGATGATTTTGGAGGAAGGGATGGATAGGTGTGGAAGGTAGTATTTGGCTCGTACTACTGAAAGCATATGATTCATACTCGAATTGGGGAAAGTCTTGGGGAATCTAAGAAGCCTAAGCAAGAGAAATCTTGGTTATTATTGGACCATGGGGATAATTGTTGTGTAGAATGCGGATGAGCATGCAAAGGGAAGGACCACGGTTTGGTCCCGACTCTAGTGATGAGCTAGTTAGCGAAAGTACTGCCAGGATTTTGAGTTCACCTTGGATCTCTTGTATTAGGCGGAAATGATTGATTTTGTGATCTATTGCGCTTTTAACTGGAGACTATGTCTTGGGAGTAGATTGTAGCTAGTTTAGAGTAGAGGTTGCTCCAGCTTTTGCGGTTCTACCATTGACGATTGAGCTGGTGATTGTGTCAGGGTGCGAGACCCTGAATGATATTGACCCTAGAGCCCAAGGACGAAAGATTGATTTGGAGTACCTCAAGAAGAAAGGTTCATATCAGGTGTGTATATTGGAGGGTCCTGGGAAGAGACCCAAGATTTCGGATCAACTTTAGAAACGCCAGTAGGGCTGGATACCGTGCAGCACGAGCGGGAAACCGTACGACAGATTATCGCTCCAGGACTATGGGTTGCTACAAGCATAGCAGGAATTATCATGTCAGGAGGTGACATTATGAGTGGGTGCTCGATTTAGGGTATGTCTGATCCGATAGATCGGCGGTGAGGTTTGGATTGGTGTGATAATGCGAGAGTGTTGTGAGACTGTGGGGTAACCTGTAGCATTTACTGATCTATAGGCAGTGGTAAGATGGTTGTAAATTTGTATTTGCCTTCGGAAATCTTTGGAAAAAGGGCTACATGGGAAGTGATTAGATCATCCGATTGATTAAGAATACAAGAGTATTCTTTGGGATTGCAAAGCTGAGTTATCATTGTGTTTGGCTAACTATGGGGCGCTTGTGTTGTCGGCGTAGGAATTAGGAGCATCTCGCATACTGATGGAAATGGATCGGAGATCCATAATGCATAAGAGGTGAAAGAGCATCATCGAGTCCAAGTGGGGGAGAGACAAACATCTACTTAGGCCTAGGATATGTTTGTGAGAGTTTAGGAAACTCCCAAGCTCCGGTTGGCATCGCCTTAATTATGCATAGAGAGTAGTGGGAATCCATAGGTGCGAATCGAACTCCTAATGAGATATAGGATTCGACTCGAGAGGTGCGACGATCTTATAGTGGAGTGTGGAAAGGCCATGGATGGTAAGCATGGTTGGATGGAAATAATGATAGGCTGTGATAGGATCATAGCATTCATTGGTCCCAATTAGACTATTCATGTAATTGTCACAAGCATAAAATGGAGATAAGCTCATGCTTTGGGCATACTGGCCAGGATTGGTGTGACATCCCCATTTTCACGGCCAAAAAAGACTGATTTTGTTTATGCTTTATAGAAATCAGAATACTTCTTTTAATAAAAAATGTTGCAGAATTTGTACCCAGTAAAACATGATAAATTTGTTATCAAAGAATTTCTGAAGAAATATACTTATTCATTTAAAACATTGGGATGTCATCGTCAATACATAGACAAAAGCATAAACAAAGCTTACATTCATTATCATTAGTGATCTATATATCCTTAATCTCTTAGTGTAATGTGACTTCATATGAACATCTGTGATATAAATAAATTGAGTGAGTCAAGTTGGGAAACCTGGTGAGTACATAGGGTTTTCAACCCACAATAATATAATTATTATGTTTAATCATCAAACAGTTAACCTAATTACCCATCCCCGTTATCTTCTTTACTCTTAAGGATCTACCCTAAGAATCATTTATTTCTTGTTCATTCATTCCTAATGATTTTCCTAAGGAGTAGATACGAAGTCCATTGTTGTCAATGACACAACTGCTAGTTCTATCACTTTGGCGCAGCTGCCATAATTGTGACATTCTATATAAGGCGCAGCTGCTAGTATTGTCCTTCGAGCACAACTGCTAGGGTTATTTCGTTTATTGATAGTATCGTTTTCGAGAGTCTACTTACAATACATGGTAATGGATGACAACCACAGACTATTGTAGGGTTGTGAACACATCGTTCACAACACCTACAGGCTGCGAGCCTACTAGTGTTCCACTGGACTATCTAGAATAGTTCGTGGTTGTCATCCATACTCTACTAGATGATGGGGCCAACATTTGGGAACAAGTTTAAGATATATGGTTTGTGATTTTATATGATGATGATATTTATTGTTTTATTAATGATTTAAAAGCGAATTTTTTTGGACCATATTTTTGGATTGTTATACTTTCACCCCAAGCATGGACTTATGAATATGTTTTGGAACCCAATATTATATGGGTTTTGTTTAGACATGGACAGTTCGGGAATCTGTTATCCAACAGCTAAGGTTTTATCCGCAGGACTTCTGCAGTGTGAGGTGAGTCTCCTCACCATACCAACATGTCGAAGGCACCAAGGCCGGCCCATTTTGTGATATGTGGTACACTAGTTGATGTATTGATATGTTGTATGCCATTTGGTTATATGTTATATACTATGTTATTTGTTTACGTGATATTTACATGAAAGACCATGGGGGAGCCCATATCACTTGGATGTAAGACCATATGGGGAAGCCCATAGCATTTTAGGTAAAGACCATGGGGGAGCCCATAACACTTGGATATCAGACCATGTAGGGGAGCCCATGGCTTTCCAGGTAAAGACCATGGGGGAGCCCATGACACATAGGTATAAGACCATGCGGCGGAGCCCATGACATCCTGGAGTAACACCCTGGGAGGAGCCCACAACATCCTTATATGTTATATGCATTCTTTATGTGATATGTGATATACTAGTTGTTTATGGGATGTGTGATGTGCTAGTTGTCTTTGTGATACTTGCATGAAAGACCATAGGGGTAGCCCATGGCGCTTGGATGTCAGACCATGTGGGACAGCCTGTGGCTTTCCAGGTAAAGACCATTAGGGGAGCCGATGACACGTAGGCATAAGATCGTATGGAGGAGCCCATGGCATCCTGGAGTAAGACCCTAGGAGGAGCCCACAACATCCTTATACGCTTATGTGATTGATATGCCTTATATAACTGATATGGCCTATGTGATTGATATGGTTTATACGCTTATATATATATATATATATATATATATATATATATTATGTGGATTATGCGGGGTATGCTCTGGGGAACTCACTAAGCTTTGTCAACCATGACTGTGAATTAACCTCTCCATTTTTCTTCTATTAAATTATTTTTTTCTTTTTATTAAAGCATCTTGGTGTTACGTGTTCCGGATTTCACATAAATTGAGTTTTTGAATTATACTATATTGTTCTTTTTCTTGGTCCTACATGTTCTTGCTTAGTGGTGTTAGTGGCTTCTCCTAATCTAAGGATTTCACATGATCTGTATTACTAACTTGTTAATCCATTGGATAAATGAGATAAAAAGACAAAAAAAATTGTCATATAAATATCAAAAAGGAGAAAGTCAAGTTTGATAATCGTTGGAAAGCAATCTACTATCTATTAACCAAAGCTTTGATGTTTTCCTGGAAAAAAAATAGTAGTGTTGACTATTCGAGTATTTCTATAGCAATTGGTCCTATTTAACTCCAAATAGGATAAGTTTTCAATGGAAAGAAAGATCAAAAAAATAAAAATAAAAATACATGTAATCTTGTCTATTTGAGATTTTTTTACTTCCCATGGACCTAAAGAAATATTAATTCTAACTTTATTATGGACTTCAAAGTCGTTAACTTTAAACTTTACGTGGATTAAGAACTCATAATTAAAAGAAAATATATTAGGCATACAACATCAGGTAAATTTGGACACTAGAATCAAGGGGATCAAAAATTAACTAGTAGATAGAATTTTAGGTGAAATCTCCATATTGATAACCAGAGAATGTAGATTAGCATACAAGATAGTAACTTTCATATGACAGTATAATTGTTGGTCTTTCAGGGGTAATAAAGACTTTTATTACCAAGATAAGAAACAAAACAAAGCAAAGGAAACTGCAAAGGGGACAAAAATTGACAAAAGACAGGGAAGGGTAAAACTTGAATAAACAGTTTTAAAAAAATTTGCACAGTGAACTCAGAAACACAGAGGAGAAGTAGTGGCACAGGGGGCAATTGAGGCAAAGTATTGTTTATTCACTGAGCAAAAACAAAAAAAATAAGGGAAAATATTGCAAATAGACCAAAAAAAATGGGGGTCAATTTCAAAATTTAGTCATAAAAAAAGGTTTTTCCAGATATAGACATACATTCTGCGGAGGACCCTCCGCGGAACCATGAAATCTCCGCGTAGAGGGGGTAATTTCGTAATTTCAACAATATTTTTTTAAGAAAAACGAAGGGGTCCTCTTTTGGTCCCCAATGATCCCTGTTCCTCCTCGTCACTTCGCATCGGGCCGCATAGGCTTTGATCGAAGACTTAAAATCCGGCGACGACGTCAACTCCGACGACGACTTCAACTTCAGCGACGACTTCAACTTGAAATGACTTCAAATTCGACGAAATTGAATCGCAAATCTCTTTCCGTCACCGATGGACCTCGAATTCCCGGATGTCATGGCCGATGGATATGGTTCCCGGGTATTTCTCACATTCTCATCTAATTAAAAATGTCGAAAATGTCGAATATGATTCAAATTAGAGAAAAACCCATTTTCTTACATCGAATATGTATACAGATTTAGGATTTTTAGGTTTAGGTTTACAGATCACAGACACATTTTTTGGATGATCCATTCTACGGAGGGGGATGTCAGTCCGAAGAGGGTGCTCCGCGAAGTGACGTGTTTCCTCTGCGGAATGTTATAATCCAACAATGCAGGACTCCGCATGGACTAGAGGTCACTCCGTAGAGAGGCCTCTGCGGAATGACCTCTAGCCTCCGCGGAGTGATGGTATTTTCATAATTTTTATATTTCTGCTTTTAAGTATGTTGCTATTTATTTCATAATGGTTTAATATTTATTTTACTTCGAATTAGTAATGTTTTAAATGAAATATATATATATATATATACACACACACACACACACATATATATATATATATATATATATATATATATATATATATATTTTGTGTAGCACGAAGATCTCGAACAAAAAGCGGAATTAACTTTGAAAGGCGTGGTGGGGATTATCATTAAAAAGTATTTTCCGCACCTAGCACAATCACAACGAGTATTATTCGAAGATTCCCCCTATGAAATATTCTTAGGAATGCATATCCCACATGGTGATCCCTTACTTGTAAATACGATGATGTTGCACGAAGTAAGGTGTCAACAAATATTTGAAATGGGGAAGTTTTCGTTTGATATAGAAGGGATCTAGTTGGATTTTGGTGAAACTGAATATATTCTAATTTGTGGTTTAAAAGATGGTCCTTATGTGGATTTACTCCATGAAGAATAGGGCCAGTCAAATTCAAAGCTCCGTGCTCGGTTGTTTCCAGATATTTTTGATGCACGTTTGCGGCTAAAAGATTTAGAAGAGTTGATTATGTCCCTGAATCATTTGGCACTACAAGATGAAGATGTTGTGGTGCTTATCCAACTAGTTTTTATGTTTAAGGATCTACATGGACGGGACATTAAAATTGGCATTTCTGTAGCACTATACAAGCTTGCTGATAATATAGATGATTTGAACAGGTAGCGCATTTAAAACAGGCATTCCCTCAGTACTATGCAATGCACTAATTATAATAAATAAATTGAAAATTGCAGGTTTGCATGGGGTACGTATTTCTGGAAATATACTTCATGTATGATGCATGGAATGTTTGAGAAAATATAAGAGTTTACAGAATTCAATCAGGCCAATCCCGAATCGAAGAAAGGACACAAGTATACCGTTCCTGGTTTTATGCTTCCGTTTAAGGTTACTTTCTAATGCATTTTAATAGTTATCATTGTTTAGTTTTTTATACTATAAAAATTTGAACTTTGTTTTGTATTATATAATAAGTTTGTATCGTGATTTTTTTCATAGATATGGATTTTAGAGACCTTCCCAGAGGAAACCAAGTTTTATATATGCACGCCGACAGAATTTCCAAGGATGAAGGCGTGGAGAAGTAAAACACCGTTAAATTGGGATAAATGTTGTCGAATAACGAACATGTCTATGGTATGTTTTTATATTAACAATCATTTATATTTACAAATTTCAATGTATTTTCATGTTAAACCAACAATCTGATTTTTGTAGCCTAACAACTAACCTATTAAAGTTGTGGCAAACCCGGAGGAGCTGATGTTGTCGTTTTATGTTCGTTATGTAAATTGGACTCTTAACCCTATAGAGTCTCCCCCACGACAACATATCCTTGTTTGAAACAGTCCACCTCATGTTGCCTCGCCTGCTCGAAGAAGGATGTACAAGTCCGAAATAGAAACATCTTCGACTGAATCTGCCACAAATACTTCTTCCTCGCAACATCTTGAATCAAGTTATATGTCAAACGACACATCAAGATTGGTAAGGAAGAAGAAGACAAGCATAAAGGCATTAGTGAAGTGTCTACTAGGCGTTGTGGCAAACTTAAGTTCTATAGTGGACCGTGTATTACAGAAACAAGATGAACCAGACACAAACGTTGAACCAGACAGAGGGTTTCGAGAAGAGGAAGAGATGATAAAACAAGAGGAGGAAGAAAAATATTACCATGATACACATTTTGACTATGATGATATCAGTACTCATGGTTTGGAGGGGGAATTTGGGCCAACACCTACGCATGTTGAGCAGTCATCAGGCATGGGTGAACATCACACAAAATAAATGACTCATATTGTTAGGCTGCAACGAAAGAGGGGTGTTCCATGGTATCAATGGACTCCATTCATAGTGGTACAAATCTCATATTTTAAATTTGATATATTTTTAAAATATTAATGTATTGATAATTATTTAACATGTTAAGTTTTTAGTTGCAATGCACACCAAAAGTGAAGAAAATCACCAAAGCAAAGAAAAAAAGTGGTGAAGAGTCCTGAAAAACCAAATGAAGACATTGTGAATGAAGAGAGTAATGATGTTTCAAATAATCTCCTTCTTGACAGTCTTGAAGTTGCCAGTACGTTGAGTTTTTGGAAAGAATGGAATTCGATTTCTTCCAACCTAAACACTAAGCATAAGCTGCATATGCTCACACTGGATGTGGAGTTTTGGT